GCACACTCTCTGTCAGCCTTTTATAACTTAGCTGGTTTACATAAAAATAATGCATCAACATTAAGGATGTAAAATGGGGCATAATGGCATGGACACCCCATATGAAATCAAGAGTAATGCAAGCATAGGCTGTATTACACGCCTAATTTAAGCATCAACCCTTTCTCCTACCTTTGCTTATTGATGCTGTTTTGACAAAAGCAAGTAGATTTGATATTTGACTATTACCTCTCATCCACTCTGTAAGGCAAGAGACGTTCAAATCAGACACCGATCTCTTTATTGCCCTGGCAGTGAAGAAGTTAAAAATCCTAAATCAAAAAGTCCCAAACTCACATTACATGACATGTTTTGTTGTTGCTAAGGTAACATGATATGTCCTGGCAAAGTGCAGTCCCATTTCTAAGTGTACCACTCAAGCATTTACCAGGTAAGCTCAGTGAAGTCTGTGGGGTTCAGGGCTTTGGCCTTAGAATATGTCTGAGCTTTAAAGGCTTTCCACTAGGGTGGAGATTGGGATTTGACCTAAAGGCTGATTTATAGTTGTATGTAGGCTCTACGCAGAGCCTATAGCATAGCCTACGCCTTAGCCTTTGCTTGGTTTACACCATTGTGAACATGTATACTTGCGTGCTGGTGTGTGACTGCGTCTCTCTACATTTGCACCACCAAAATGCGACTGAAGCTATGCAGATCATGTTGAATTTGGAGGGTGTAAATGTTGAACAGCAGTTACTTTTACAGAAATTACTGCACCGCAGAAAAGAGAGAAGACTTCTGCAGTCGTCACATGTATTTACAGACTTTGTAATCCTATCAGGCGCCACAATGTGTAGTTCACTGTACCTATGGCGTAGATTCTACACAAAAGTGTAAACCAATCTTTAGTGACAGAAGTCCCAGTCAAGAGGTCAAATGATCACACTTGAAGCAGGATAGCAACAAAACCCCCTGCCTGGAAAAGATACCCCCCTGCGGTGCAATCTCTTCACCTACGAGAGGCTGTATACACTTTCGTCCTCCCCTTTGTCCCTTTTTTTTTGTAGTTCAGTAATGTTGTGTGCAACCAGTAAGTGGATTTCTCCATTTAATACTTGAGTTATCTTTATTATTACACACTATTTCTGTTGAGATTAATATTACTAAAGAAGTCTACAGAGAAATTCAAAGAACCTTGGACTCACTACTACTCACTAACCATTAGATTTAGAATTCAACACTATGTTTAAGTAGTCTTTAGATCACATTATATTTACAACACTTAAATTAAGTTGCAGGCAAAGAAGAGATGTGCGGTACTTTGGAAAGTTTAGCAGTGCAGCTTTAAAAATTAATGTCATGAAAAATTACTTCTTTTTGTAAGGGAGTCCAACCAGATTTGTGATACAGCGAGCAGCGATGGGTATGAAATTCCCTGTGTACCCAGTATGTTAAATTATATATGTACTGGATTATAGCTATTGATTAATTACTGTAACTTACTAGCAGCATTTTGATGTGGTGACTTGGTGAGGTGGAGCTTAATGTTAACTATTTAATATACTGTTACTATGCAAAAATGCATCGTGTTTTATAAGTTGACTACATATTTTGTAGATTAATCTTATTTCTGCAAAGCATATATGAGCTGTCAAATAAATTATGGTGGTGGATTGAAAGCTATATTATTTACCTCTGAAATGTAGAGAGTATACCTGAGTACAGCACTTTACTTTCCTCAACTGCTCTTCTCTTTCTATCTCTATCCTGCTCTGCGTCTCTTTCTGCAGAAACACTTTTCAATCTCTTCTCTCTGTATTCAATTTTGTTCTTTTATTCCCTCATCGTCCCCAGACCCATTCCCTCTGCTTCTTCTCTCTCTCTCATTCACCTTACTTCTATTGCAGCCTTCCTTATCCCTCCTCCCTCCCTCCCCTCTCTTCTTCTCCTCGGTGTATAGATGCTGTAATCTTCTCTGTCTAATGCTATCAATGGCTCTCAATAACAATGAAATAGCACCGGTTCCATCCCATCATTGATGAAGGCATATCCCCAGTTAGGAACCTTATTCGTCATCATGGCAATCTGCTTCTTGGTAATAACCAATCACATGGTTCTGGTGAAATGATGTGCTCCCATGATAGGTCCCCACGTTGTGTTGATCAACTGCACCTGAAGGCCCCGACACTTCAGCTGGGCTCGATCAATATGCCATCACACGCACGCATGCCCATACATGCCCCTGGAATATACACACAGGTCTGGACAGCACACACACACACACACACACACACACACAGTTTGCTGAAGAGTAAATTGAGAAAGAGACCAGTGGTGTGGGGAGAATACAGTAGCAGCAACCAGCACAATGGAGTACGGTGCAGTGCATTAGGGCTAGGTATCGCCACTGTTTTCCTGAATTCATTCGATTTCGATTCCCAAGGTACTGATTCGATTTGATTTGATTGGCAATATCTCAGTTACACTACCAATTTTCGCTGGAATGTTAAAGAGATTCTCAGAGGGCTAATACTGTAAAATTTACAAGGAATTATTGTCCTCTCTGCTCGTCCCTCTGCTGCTGAGGAGTTCACTGCCTGCACGTCACATTACCATTGGTAGAGTTCGAGATTCGTGGCAAACTAAGCTAAAACTTTAGACATAAACAGTTGTTTTAGCTTTTCCATAACAATTTGCTATTAGCTGGAAAGTGTGCTGTGCCTGTGTAAAAAAGTATTAGCGGCGATGGATGAGAGACTACAGACAGAGCAAATTGAAATATTGCTTTTCTACATGTGTCCATGTTTATGCTTGCTGAACAGGTGTATTTATAAAGTACTGACTCTTTCCTTGTGGAGGTTTTGTTGCAATTACAGTAATAAGCGTAGTTGTCGTTAGCTTCTCTCTCCACCGTGGCATCTCTACTCTGTGTTGGTGTTTCTGTTTGTGTGTGCATAAAAGTGGCGCAGCCGCCCTGATGCACAAACAGCAGGAGGAGCGGCTGCTGCAGCATTAATTACACCCAAAAGCTAACAGTTGCAGATAAAAGAAGCGCTAACATCGGAGCCTCACAAAACTATGGTCCTCAGTAATTTGGCACAGGGGCCCGTTTACTACCGGCTAGATTAACGGGGTTAAAACTTCACACATCCATGGGAAAAAGCGTACGTTAAAAGATTGATCTCAGATTTTATCAGTCAATAGCAGGTCATTCAAATGAAGACCAATTTGAATCAGATGAATCGATTATTTTAACCCAGCCCTACATCACATTACACAACAGCGTGCCACAGTGGTCCCTCTGTGAGGTCCCACTAATCAGCCGTTGCATAACTGTCTCTGTTATACATGCACACCAATATGGAAACAGCATGGAACATTTTACTTTGTCCCGCAGTTATTATTTATTGTCACCTTTAATGTAGCACACAGTGTTAGAAAAAGAACGATTTATTGAAAGAAATGGAGGGGGGGGGAAAGACTCCCACTGTGTGCCAGTTATTCTATGTTGTGTCACACATACAGATGGCCTCGCATAAGCCCTGCCTCTGTTCACTTTGAGCTGTGATAACCATAATGAGAGCAACACAGCCATCTGCACAGTATGGAGCATGCTATTAGTATTACAAACATGTTCGTGCACACGCCTGCCCACCCTTTGACACAGCAAACCCGAGAATGAGAGGCAAGTTCAACTGGAAGAAAGGGAGGTCAGTAATTGCATAGAGAAGGAAGAAAAAAAGGAGAGAAGGGGAAGTATGGTTGTTTTATGAGACGTGATGAGGGATTTGAAGCATAGGATTGCAGATTTTTTTTGATGTGCTTCAAACATCAAAGCTAAACAAGTGTTTGAAAGGTGAGCAGGTAAAAAAAAAGACTAAATGAAGATCTCAAAGTGAAAGGGCTGTAAAGAAAAAAAGAATGGAGGTGGGAGGGATGTTCAACACAGTGACCGACAATCTGCAGCATCTGCCTCTTTGATGTACACACGTGTGAGCACAAACACACAATGCCAGCTCATTTCCATCCCCACATGTACTTGTCAGGGTCAAAGGTCGGCCTTCTACCGCTCCAGCAAACCCCACCCCCCCCACCCCCCCACCCCCCGTGTTTACAGCTGCAAGGGTCAATTGGAGGTCATGAACTGACTCTTTCAGCTGTCTGTCAGACCTGTCTAAACCTCAGAGCGGTGAACCAGACATTTGCAACATTCCCAGGTCAACAGCCCCCACCACTATCAACAACGCCCCCCCTCCCTCAACCTCCCTGTCTGTCCGTCTGTCACACAACGCTCCTTCTCCTCTCCTCTGTCGTCATCCCTCCCTTCATCTATCCATCCTTTCACACTGCCTTGTCAACATGTCAGTCAGAGCAAGGCCTTGTCACTCCTGGAGAGGGCTGCTTAGCACCACTGGAGCTCAGCTGAGCTCCCTTTGTGTGCTTTTTTTGCATTTGGAGGTGGGGGCAGGGGCTGGGTTATGGAAAACTTGTAAGGTTCAGGCATATGTGGATTCAAGGCAGTTGTCTTTGTACTTGTGAGTCACTGTGTGTGTTTGGTGCTTCTAGTATGTGACTGTGTATCTGTTTGTCTGCACTGGTTTATATGTACTTACGCGTGTGTACATACAGTGTAGCTGTGTATGAATGAATGTGTGGCAACGTTGTATGCCAGCTGTTGTGATGTTGTCTTTGAAGTCCCTGGAGATCTCTTCAAGGCTGAGTCCTGTCACTTCTAAACGGCAGACTTTCCACGGGAGACATGAATAGAGACGTGTGTTCTGTATTTCTGTATTACTAGACAGTGTGCATGGGACTGGGCTGCCTCTGTGATATGACAGGAAACATCTTCATCGTTGAGTATGAAAGTCTATTGTATGTGCTGTCAAATTACAGGTGCTCCCGCTACATTGAAATGTGACAGAGCATATTGAGCATAAGCCGCAGGATGACAATTTAAAGAGAGACATCTTGTGCCAGGGGAATGTGTCCATTAACGTGCAGTGTGTCCTCCGATCCTGCAGGTGGTGGTACAGGCAGCCCGCAGACCGTTCTCCATGAGGAGCAGTAGAAGATGCCGGCTCTGCCAGCACTGCTGCTGTCAATACACATCCTCTCCTTCCTGCTAGTCACCATGCCGCCACGCTCCCTCAGTCAGGCCCCCGTGCTCTCCTCTGTCCGCATGGGTGAGTGGCCAGCCCTCTCTCCCTACACCTGGATCATAAAGTTCCTCAACACACTGTTAATGGTTTGTTTTTAGCCTCAAAGTATGTTTCACCACTTTAGGTCTGTACAATTAAAGATAACAAAGCACTTAAAGGGACAGTTCACTCCAAAATAAAAAAAAACACATTTTCCCTTCTACCTGTAGTACTGTTGCGGTGAACTGTCCCTTTAAAGGCAAGATAAGAAGTAAAAACATACTTGCTGGTGTCCAAGCTCACTTTATACAGTAAAGAATGATTGACAGATACAATCCAAATGTAAATGGAAGTCTTTTTGGTCTATTGTACTGTATGCAGGTGTAAGAATAAGCATGCATCAGGGGTAGGAAAATCTATCTGACACCTGCACAGTATCCAAAATTAAAAACTGACATTTTCTGTGCGCACTAAAATATTTTTATCCAACCAAAACAGCTCATGTACACAGAGGCTTGGCAAAATAATGTAAGCATATCATAGACTAAAGGACTTGAGCTTTGAAGCAAAATGATCACAAACACTAAAGGAATAATTTGACATTTTGGGAGATACACTTATTTGTTTTCTGGCGAAGAGTTAGATGAGAGGACCTTCACCTATCACTCTCTGTGTCTCTAGCGGCAATCCTGGATGACCAGTCTGTGTGTGGGCGCGGGGAGCGGCTGGCACTGGCTCTGGCCAGGGAGAACATCAACAGCGTGATGGAGGGTCCGTCTCGAGCCCGAGTGGAGGTGGACATATATGAGCTGCAAAAAGACTCCCAGTATGACACTACTGACACCAGTGAGTGGAGCCGATGCATGCCAAAGAAAACCAGTAGAGCAGATTCACCCAGCCCATCAGAGAATGATCAAGTCCCGCTGAATCCATTGAGGTCCTCTCTGTCCAATAGCACATAGTGTGTAATTAGCACAGACAGAAAGTGACCACTTAAAATACCACGAGATATTATAAGTAGTTTGGAATATTAAAGGTAAACTATGCAGGAATTGATGGTCTACTATTTAAAAAATCACCGGGGAATATGAAATCCAACCTCAGATTGGCATTTTGCTTTGCTATATTTGTGTTTATTCTGCAATATGTCCATGACTCTCATAGCTTCTTCTTGGATGTGCGAGACCAACAGTTTGGAACCTGATCTCTACCTTTTTATAAAGTCTCGACCTCACATGCGTGTCGTGCCCAGGAATATCCTGAACGCAGCAAAATGAGAAGAAAATAAGAAAATATAGGCAGAGGAAGGAGCCTCTGCAGGTAAATACACCACTGTGTACTTCTAGCAGGTCATAAGTGATGATTGAGAGAGATTACTTATGTGCGAGTCTATGCATTGATTTTATTTTAGGAAAATCCTGCATCCTTTGATATAAATAGTAACCACAATAGAGTAGGAAAGACAGTCTACTAAATACTGCAGGTTTAATTTCCACCAAATGGCTGCCAATATTTTTTTTTTAAAGATAATTACATTTTCTAAAAAGCTGCCTCTTTATGAGCATGAACCTCAAATGGTGACTAGCCTGATAAAACACTACCACTTTCATGTGATTAGGAACCAGTAAGGGCTTGTGCTGATTAGTTTACACGTCATTGGAGACCAGTAATGGGCCAGTAAGCCTGTCTCATTAAAAATGGGGGACCAGTGCCCTCCAGTAACAGCTGGCACTGCCTACTGTGCAGACCACGACAAAAACAACTCATCAAATACTAATACAGATCAGCAGTGCAGGCCGGCAGAAAGCAGTGGCACAGAAGCAGCTCCATGAAATTTGTATTGATGTAGAGAGTTAAAGCACAATGTTTGGAGTCTGTAAAGACAGAAGAAGTACTGTTGAACGCACTCACTGAGGAGACAAGAGACCCCCTGCTCTTATTCTAATAGGTCACTGACCCTGCCACAAGCTACTGGCAAAATGTCTATGTGTGCTTGAGAAGGGTTGTGTACATATGTGCATGTTTGAGTTGTGTACGTCTGATATGTGTGTGTGTGTGTGTGTGTGTGTGTGTGTCCTTGACCGATGGGCAGGAGACTCTGACAGGCTTGTTTGCTCACAGCGTTTTTGGTCTCTGGATCAGAGAGCTCATCATCTTACAGCTATGGCTGTCTGAGGCACGCTTGCACGCACACACTCTTACACACACACACACACACACACACACACACACAGGCATTCACACATGCTTGCACACACATCCCCCTCTGCAAGCACATTCACACATGGGCACAGTGTTGGCATGCACGCTCACACATATACAGACACTCACACACAGACAGACAGTGGCAGGGACTGAGGAGGACTAATTGGGATGAATTAAAATACCAACTAAATATACCAGCAAGAAAAGAGCTTTATGACTGTGAGAATTACAGTTCAGTCACTAGACTCATTTATGCTGCATCTGTAAAAGCATTTTTCACGTGGGCAGAAAGAAAACATCAATACAAATGAGCTCACTGCACATCTAAAAGATACTGAACACAAAAACAGTATTTATGAATGCTACCAGATGAAGCTCCTGAGTACATCTCATGGTCAAACTTCTGTATATTAGTGGTCAGTAGGAGATACATGATTGCAAAGAAAAACAGGCTCATTTGTTGTCTTGCTGAATGTGTTAGATGACGATTGATGCCACTCTCATATCTGTAGGCTAAATACAAAACTTCAGACTGCAGCCGGTTTGCTCAGAGTAGCTTCATATTTGTTGTACAGACATGAGACATTGGTCGTCTCATCTAACTCCCGGCAAGACAGCGTATAAGCGTATTGATCAGTAACGCAGACTGCAGGCCCATCAATTACACAAGTAGAAGACAGACAAGCAACATCATCTGTTACCACTCACTTTTAATCAGTCATGTATCAACTCAACAAAGTGGAGACATTTCAATTATGTGCAAACGAGCAAACTTAAGGCACACATGTAGAAGAGTGGGAGTATGTGACATTCTGATTTTAAAAAAAATTAGTTGCATGGCTTGTTCATGAAACAATTAAAATTAGAAAAGCGCTTGGAGAGTGCAGACATCTGCCAAGGCCATGTGCCCTATCTTGCAGTGTTAACGAAAGTGAAAAATAATATGAATCTGCCTAGTGATTTGGATCCAAAATTCAGTAGTTTTTTGCCTTGGTCTCTTCGCTAAACCTTTCCACCAAGTTTAATGAAAATTCGGCCAGTAGTTTTTCCAAAATCCAAACAAACAAAGACATAAAACCAAAAACATGACCCCCTTGGTTGAGGTACAAATGATGTGTTTGGACCTTAGCTGTACTGGGGTTCAAATTTTAAAGCCACAGTGTGTAGGAATTTCTCCCATCTAATGTTGAAATCATATATTGTATTCAAACAGATGGCGCACTCTAGCGCCTCACTGTTTCAAACACGTATTGCAACAACTGTAGCCGCTGTGTACCAAAAAGCTATGATAACACTGATGAAACCATGTCATCCGATACTACATGGAGTATTCATTCAGGCTCCTACACAGACACATGCGATGCGAGTTGACAAACCCCCTCCTCACCATGCTGGCTGTGTTTACAACGTAGGACTGTTGGGGCGGATGTAAATTGAAACAAACCAATCACGTCTTGTCCTTTGACAACTGACAAGTGGCTCAACCTCACACACCTCATCCCTCTCCTCGCATTACTGCGCCGCTAACAGCTGTTAGTGGCCAGCGGCACTACTGCCGCATAACAAAGTCCCACTCTTTGAGCATAATGCAGGATCATGTATTATGCAGCATCACGGGAGACGGAATCCTCGTCACCAAGAAAGTGCAAAAGGGAATCAAAAAGGCAGCGTGACCAGCGAATTAAAAAAACAAGGGTCAGCATTGGGGTTGTCTTTCCCAGGTGGAGAGAGCTGCTGAAGGAGAAAGGTAATACAATCACAGGCCAGCGCTAACAGCAGCTAACAGCGGCTAACAGCTAACAGCGGCACAGTGATGCGAGGAGAGGGATGAGGCTGTTAGCGACTGGCCGCTAACAGCGGCTAACAGCCAACAGCGGCGCTGGCTTGTGATTGCATTACCATTCTCCCTCAGCAGCTCTCTCTACCTGGGAAAGGCTACCCCGATGTAGGCCTTCGTTTTTTTAATTCGCTGGTCACGCTGCCTTTTCAATTCCCTTTTGCGCTTTCTTGGCGACATGGATTCCATCTCCCATGATGCTGCATATGCATGATCCTGCATTATGCTCAGAGAGTGGGACTTTGTTTCAAATTTGCCAGGGTAGTAGCGAAGCGCCTCTTGCTCCTCTCCTTCGGCTCCTCAGTCATGCAGTGCTGGCCTGGCTCTCAACGAAAACGCCGAAGGCGGTGCTGTATGTCCCTTGCTGGCGGGTGTATTCTCAAGATGGCGAAACGTAATGGAACCCCACAGACGTCTTACCCGCACAATGTACAAACAAATCCGAAATTCTCCTTTTATGAGAATAAGTCAGATTATTGGTGGAGGTAATAGTACACCAGTGATGACATATTTATGAATGCAGACATCAATTTTTGCCAATAAACAACTGAAAATGTTACACAATGTCCCTTTAAAAACAAAATCTGAGGCTCACATTTTTATGCTTTCTTTCAGGACTGTATCCTTACTGCGTAACTGGGACAAAAGGCCGCAGAAAACAAGTGTCATTCAGAAATTTCACAAGCTAACAGAGAAATGACAAAAAATTATTAATCAGAAACAGAGACGTATGGTAATCATGATAATTGCCTCAAATGAAAAACACAATATACATACATTTTTCTGTGTTGACCTAAATGTATCACAAAAAAGATCTGCACCCTGTTGCACCAGTGATTCGTAAGTTCTCGCTTAATTGACGGTGCATAGTCAACACCTCACGGATATAATAAAACTAGTTAGTATGATCAAAAAGTTGTGTCGATGTTTGGTTGCACCACAGAGACATAAAATGCATCGTAGCTACATTGGGGTAAAGTCCAACTAACCAAAATGTTGTCATCCAAAATGATGTTTCACTTCCTGTGGACAGTCAGTGAAAAGCACTTTTTGTCGTAACGGCTAAAAATACCTCACCTTAATCACCACACAACAACAAAACAATACGCAAACTAGGACAAAGCATCATGAGTAGGTGATAACTAAATATATCAGTACCCTGTTGATGGACAGATGAAATTGCAACTTTATAACAAACACATTATGATAAGATAGATAGTTGTTAATTAGAAAGTTATTTAACCCTATATATTAGATTGCAAATGTGGCACAGAGGATTTTTATAAGTAGTTGCCCACCTGTGTTGCTGCGTTCCATTTTACCTTAGAAGTCAGAGATCGGAGCCAGGTATTATGTCACACCCGACTTGACCACGTTCCAGTACAACAAGTAACACGTAACACATGTACACAGGTACAAGTTGTACAGTTATGTACGTGCATCTGATTTAGTGAGACACAAGTAAGACAGAAGTGCTAATAAACAGTATATTACTACAACTTACACTACTGCTGATGTGCGGAGCAGCCATCTTGGATTTAGACATCAAGGTTGGTAACATTCCTCTGACTTTTGGAGTCAGAAATCTGACCTATGGGGGCGTTCCAGTTGAGATTTCCGACTGGGATCTTGGAAATACTGACTTCCCATTGCAAATGGAATGTGTTATATGTGTTATTTTGTATGTATGCAGTTTATTTTGCACGTTTGCAGACACCCCAATTCAGTTTTTAGCATTTCTGTTGTGAGTATAAAAGGCACAAGATCACTTGTGGGTATAATCTATCATGGAGAATGCGTAACCAATGTGAAATGGCTGGTATAATTTGCCTCATCCTCCCACCTTTCAAAATGATGTGCCATGACAACCACTATTTTAGGGAGGACTTTACACACACTAAGAGCTAAGTGTAAGACTTAAGTTGTAGCTCATGCTTATGTTGTAACTATATCAGCTGGTGTGATCCTTAAAGTGTTCGTAGCTCTTAAACTTCAGCCTAAGTTAGAAGTTACAGCCAATTAAGGCTATGTTTGAATTTCTCGTGCAACCCAGTGCTGAAATCACTTTCATCACATAAGCCTGGATATATGGATACAGTGGAGACATTTGTTGGCATGTGGGAGTTTTGAACAGTGAAATCTATGTTTGAACAGACTGAATCATAGAGATAGTGTTTACTTGAGCTATTCCTAAGCGAAGTACTTATTGTAATAGACAAACAGTTTCTCCCACATTAATGTCTTCCTAGAGAGAGGATGATCATGCAAACTGGCATTTGTTAATTGAAGGCGACCACCAATCTGTTGCCATTGTTCTGAAGCCAGAGATATAATTACAGCAAAATATCTTAAAAATAATTTAAAAAATCATTAAAAAAAACGACTGTCTAAACAAGTGAGTAATAGCAGAAGGCAACCCCTGGCCTGCCCTGCTGTAGTTCTCCGAGTATTTATCTCAAAATAAATCTGATTATAATGAGACAGATTGTGCTGCTACAATGGAATCGTGGTTTAAGTGAAAATCCCCAATGCATCCTCTCAGTTTTTGCTGCATTTTTAATCTCCACACTTCCCCCTGACTGCAGCCCCTACTTCATGCCAACTCTGTGCTGCCATCAAAATAAAGCAGAAGGAAAGGTATGTGTCTGCATATCCAATGTTTATTTTCCCCCTTTTCCCTTTCAGTGTGTCAGATTCTACCCAAAGGCGTCGTCTCTGTGATAGGTCCCGCCTCCAGCCCCGCCTCTGGCTCTACTGTCAGTCATATATGTGGAGAAAAGGAGGTGAGTGCGGGAGATAAACACACACACAAATATGTACAAATCTGTGTGTCTCATGTGTGCGTGCAGACATCTAGTACCTCTCCCTCTCTGCCCGTCCTCCCCACAGAGGCGTCATGATGAATGTATCTAAAGATTCTGTTTTTCCTTGCCTATTGAACTTCTTCTCACATAATTAACCATCATCCACTTCCTCCAACTGTTTCTCCATTCTTCCCGTAGCCTTTTATCCTTAAGGTCTCTCTGTTCTCTGCCTCTGCTATCTTCTTATCTTTTTTTTTCACCCTGTAGCCTCCTTATTCACAGTTTTTTCCTGCTGCGTGTGTTTGGAGGGGAGTTAATCACGACACATTTGCTGTCCTTAATGTTTCTCTCTCTCTCTCTCTCTCTCTCTCTCTCTCTCTCTCTCTCTCTCTCTCCTCTCCTCTCCTCTCCTCTCCTCTCCTCTCCTCTCCTTTTACTGTCAGATCCCTCACGTAAAGATTGGTCCAGAGGAAACGCCCCGCTTGCCATACCTGCGCTTTGCCTCTGTCACTCTGTACCCTAGCAACGAGGACCTGAGCCTGGCCATAGGAGCCATCTTGCGCTCGTTCAGTTACCCCTCAGCCAGCCTGGTCTGCGCCAAGGCTGAGTGTGAGTACACACCCAGCCTGCTTTATTCTTACACAGTACATTATGTGCAACTGCATGGCTGTGTTTGTTGTTGAGGTGGGTGTAAGTGCATCGGTTGTGTTCTTGCGAGCTTATTCACCTAGGATGTGTGTTTGTGTTTGTGTGTGTGTGAATGCTTCTGTGGGAGGGTTGGCACATTCACAATGATTGGGCGGATATGACTGTTTTGCACCTTTGGACACCGACTTTGACAGTCTGGTCATAAAGTTCTGTCTGTTGTCAGAGTTCACAACATGGCTCCTCCTGCAGCCTCCCTATTTTTTCCTTGTATTTTTTTTTTTCACTCACGCTCTCGCACACTGTCTCTTATCCACCTCAGAGGGTTTTTAGGCCAAACCAATTTAATAAATATTCGTGTTTGAAATGCTTTCCAGTATTGGAGGAACTTAGGGGACATTTGATTTAACTTGCCAGGCACTCAGAGAGCTTTAACATCACAGGGGATTCGAGGCTTAGTCACTAGCCCTCTTTATTTTCATTTTGAAAGAGTGTTTTATTGATTTATTATGCACTGCCCCATCGAGAGTCGCAGGAATTAAAAGGCTTGGTCGGATGGTGGCTGAAGCGTTCAAACAAAGCCTTATGAATACATGAAATAATACACTATGTGCTGTAGGAGGTGGCAAAATCCTAATTTTGCCACTGAATAATCATCTGACTTTTTGTTCAGTCCTGAGTGAGCTGGGATGAGTTGTTGTGCAGCTGTTGACCGCTCAAACCAGCCAAATAGGACCAGACAAGAACTGAAGGGCAATTACATAAAGAATAAGTGGCACCATTGAAGTCTGTGAACATTTCTCGTGGCAGTGTGAAAAGGGTAGATTTTGACAAACAAAAAACTGTGACATTATGAAAAATTGATTCAATCATTGAGATGCTTTCATTATCTGCCCAGCGGTTAGCCAGCCGTCCCTTGGTTTCCTGAAAGTAAGCTGCATTCCTTGGGGACTTGTCATTTCATTGAAGTAAAAGAGCTTTGAAATGGCATCAGACATCTTTTTCCAGTTTTGATCATCAGTAGGATGTGTAGATAAGAGCCTTGTCTTTCACCAGGCTTTTTCTGTCAGAAGAATTAGAGACAACAGATAGCATCATAGTTACCGTCCGGGCCAAAAGATGCTGCTTTTACCGATGGAGAGACTAAGGGAGGTGTGTGTGTGTGTATGTGTGTAATATATTTGGCTTGAAGGTGATCTTTACAAGGTTATCACACTCACAGACTCTGACCCACTTGGCTGCGCTATCTATCGCCATGGAGCTGGTTGCCATGGCTGCAGAATAGGTGCTAACTGCCACTCAACAGGCTTGTTCCACACTCTGAACGACTGTGTGGGTGTGTGTGGCACGGTATGTGTGTGTTTGATTTTTTTTTCTTTCCTGTGTGCTGGGTTCACTTTGTCCATACATTTGTGTGTGTTTGAGTGCTGGTTTATGAATGTTTGTGTGTGTGTATTGTTGCCCCTGAGTGTACTGTATGTCTGAGTGGGTTTTGGGGTATTTGTAGGATTGTGTGTGCGGCTCTGCTGTGGCGCTGCAGAGGTTCAACATCAGACAATGTTTACCACCAGCCCACTTGTTTTATTCATCTTGTTTAGCCCAGTGTAGAGTGGTGTGTTCATGTGAAGTAGGCATTCTCCCTTTTTTGTCAGTGAGGCGAGGAATGTGTGAAGTCACACATTTCATTGACACCCACCATGCGCGCATCCTAATTAAGTAACATATTTAGAAACTGGTAATTTTTGCAGCCGCATGTTAATTACATTAATCACATTTTTCCCTCTTTAGCCCGTGAAAATAGCGCAGATATTCACTTAGATGAGAGCGAGTCAGAGATTTTGGGACATTTCTGACGTATCCCTGTCTCGCTATGCCTGGGTCATAACGCACTGTTTGAGCCTAATTCCATTATGCAGTTTTCATGAGATGGATGAGGTTAAGGACAGCGAGAGGGAGAGACTGAGCACAAGGAGGAGGAGATGGTGGCAGTGTAAGAGCGAGATGGATAAAGACAGGGAGAGGTAACTGGAGCACAGGGCTAAGACGAGAGAGATAGAGAGGTTAGAGCTTATGTGTGAGAGAGAGAATATATGAAAGAAGGAGAGCGGGAGAGGGGAGGAGAGGAAGCTGTAAAGTGCATTGATTTTTTCCCCTCCTTCCTCAAACTAATTAAAGTTTTGGCCTGGTTCAGTGATTACCCCACTGCTTACAGAGGCTTTCTCCTGCTGAAGGGCTCTGTGCGCTACCTCTTCCCTCCTCTACTCCTCCCTCTCCCCTTCCCTTCATCCCCCAGATGCCTGCCCCACCACTTATTTACATAGCTAGGGGTGCTTTACTATGGAATTACAATTAGGAAGCATCAGGGTAGACTTTCTAGTAAAGGCTCACTCCATGCACAATGTCAAGTGAGTCTTGACTGCCATTGGTTATACTCATTTTCAAGAGGAATTCGCTTGAAGTGGGTGAATTGTCTCAAGTACTGTATTTCAGTCTTTCTGCTCCTGCGGTTCTGTCCCTTTTTCTTTCCATTATCTCAGCAGAGGGTTGCAGACAGATATTTCCAGTTTTTGTTATTTTCTTGTGCTGTTCTCTGAACACGTGGGTTTACTACTATTCTGCTCACAGTATATACATCACTCAAAAAATTGAAAAGCTATCACTGATGGATGGTCCAACAGACACAAAGTAAATTACAAAGCACTCAAAGAGCGCATACGTCTGCCAAGGCTGCACAACTCTTTAGATTTATTATTCTGTTAATAGAAAATGTTTAGAAATTTGTCATACTGATTGGCTGATGGCAGCCTCGAGTTTTTAGGATACCTAAAACCTCACTGGGAATATTAGGGCATTGTACAAAGATTAATTTCAATTGTGACAGACTCATAAGCACAGAGTCTGCACTCAGTCTGCACTGATAAGCACTCCAGTATGGAAATTACACAAATGTGATGTGAAAACTTGAAACCTTCGGCACTGAATGTGCAGTAAAGCGAGAGACATCTTGTGTTGAGTAATTAAACTTCTGCAACAAAAAAATTAACTACAACTAATTGACCTTTTTTATTTTTACTCCAACCAAAGTATTTATATATGTCCTAAGCAGTGATGGGGTTGTTACTCAAAAAAGGTAATGTATTACACATTACTCATTACATTAGAAAGGAGTGTTGCATTACTTAACTTAATAACTCCCTGTAGAAAGAAGTTTGTTTCACTAATTACATTACCTTTGTGTTACTCCGCGACATTGCCTGAGATACATTGTCACGTAAATTGGTATTATAACATTAAACCTTACATATGCCCACATATCAGCAGAAAACAAGCAACTGGAAATCAAGACTGCACTCAAAATAAAACTTTAATATTATAGATATTGGCCTTCCTGACACGGCATACTACAAACATGCCTAGAAATAATATATTAATAGATGTAAATAAGATAATAAAAGAGACTTGCATTCTTTACACCATTAGATGATAGACTTAAAAGAAAAAAACACATTTAAATGGCTAAAACGGCAAAACATGGCTTGTAGCAGATTTGTCCAGCTTATTTGACGTGTTTATCACTAAAGCAGTGGTTATATCTCATGAGGAGGACATCTCCTCAAATTGTTTATCAGACTATTTGTTCCTCCTCAGAGTCGGCACAGACTGCCCAGGTTGAGGAGCCTCTCCACTGGTGCTCTGGACAGCGTCACTGTTGTGGGCACCTTTGATGATTTTTTTCCTGTCCAACCATTATACAGACAATTGGAGAACTTATGTTAAGCAAGTCACAACATAATTTTTTGATCAGTTTGATCAGTAGCTGTAATGTGATTACTGAATTTATAACAGTAAAGCGTGACATTACTGCCTAACTTACAAATGTAATGTCATTACAGCAATCTGCTGTGCTCAACACTGGTCCAAAAGAGGGGGAATGTTTTTTGGGTTCATCCAAATATTTTATGCATCGAATGTAGTTAAGATCCGGCAAAACCTGTACGAGTAACATTACAGCAGAAATAGACACTTTTTTTTTTTTTTCTTGAACTTATCATTGTAAAGTAAATGTTGATTGCACAGTGTAATGGCTGTAGAAAAATGACACCATCTGCATTTACATTGAATCAGTATTAGCCTCACTTTTACTATGCAGCTCTGCCTGCCACTGGGTACAATCTCTCGGGAAAATATAGGCTCGATTTACAGCACAAAGGAAGTGCATCAACCATTGTGCAACCAAAACAGGAAGATGAGGCACTGTTTTCCCAGATATCAATCCCGAGTTACCAAAGACAATCAATGTGAGGTCTTTGCAGTTACTATCCCAGTAGCAGAAAGTGGGGATGGTGGAACAACCAAAGTAACTGTGAACACTCTACCCTCATAAAGAAAAGAGCCTGGTTGCTTTGCTCAAAGGAAAGTGGAAAACGATCTGGTTGTCTTTGCGACAGTGGCACCAACAATGATACCACTTAGAAACATAAAACAAATAAACGAAAATATGTTAAGATCCATAGTGTATGTATTAGCGATGGGCAGACCAATTCTTTTCAAAGTATTGGATCTTTTGAATTGATACATGTACTTTAGAGGTTTGATACTTTCTTGCAACATATGGTGTCAGTTTCTCCGTCATATTATGTTGTAGTATATGCATGTTTGACAGCTGGTGCTGCCCGCCCCACAAAAATTCATCATGTATAAGTTTGCATCAATAAAGATAAAATATTCATTTTCACATTTTCTGCAAGAAGCAGACATTTCTTACCTCTGCAGTCTTGTGCTGCATTCATGTGGAGGTGGAATAATCTGAAAATTAAGTTACCAATCATATTTCATGGCTCACCTGATTCGTTCCCTTTGCTCTTTTTCATTAATTCATGAACACACCGAAGTTGGAAGAACGATCGATTGAGAAGCACTTGAATACACCACTGGCCTTTTCTGGTGGAGGTCTCAACTCTAATGATTTAATCGGTCTTGGCTTGTTCATGCAGTGCCTTTGCTGCACAACGTTATGACATGTATTAGACATTCTACACGCTGACCTCTTATACCAGACACTTAAAAGAGTCGTTCAAAGAGATTTGTTCATTCATTTTTGCCCATCACCCTTACATATGATGTTATATTTAAAAAGCATCAGACATTCAAGCATACAGTGAAAAAAGTGCAACACATAGTCTTAACTCATAGCCATCACACTATTGTGTGCCTGTATCTTTGCTTTCCTCAGTGTGTCTGTAGTGATTAAATAAACCCAGATGGTGGAAAATCTCTGGATATAAATGGATTTAGTCTGAAGATTCATGTAGAGTCAGAGAAGGCCAAATTTTGCTGCACTATTTATGTATCAAGAGCAACATGTAAAGTGGTTTATAAATGGCCAAATGGTGGCGCTGTCTACAGCACAAACTAATCAGTTGTTCCCTGGCCCATGGCCCACGTCATCTTCACCTGACAAAATCTGTCAAGTTCATTTTGAGACACCGGTATACTGCTAATTAACAGATAAACAAACAAACATATGGCACTGAATAAAAAAACCTCCTTGGTAGAGGTCATAATAAATGAAAATAAGTGCTTCTGAGAGAAACAGTGAATGCAGACATACTGTAGACTCCATATTAAATGATGTTTCATTTCCTGGGGACTTAGACAAACCATCGATCACGCTTTGCAAAATGACAAAAATATATGACCACCCATGGATAAATCAAGATTTTCACAGGTCCTGTAAAGCTCACATTTCGAAAATATGAGTTGTGTCTACTGATACAGACATTGATATGCAGCTCGTCTGTGCTTTGGCTCTGCCTCAGGCCTGCTGAGATTGGAGGAACTGGTCCGCCGCTTTCTCATCTCTCGGGAGACGCTGTCAATCAGGATGCTGGATGACAACCTGGACCCTACGCCACTGCTGAAGGAGATCCGTGACGACAAAGTGGCCACCATCATCATCGACGCCAACGCATCTGTCTCCTATCTCATCCTGAAGAAGGTCAGTTCTCGAACATCAACACATTCTTCAGAGCCGCCTGTACGAGCAGGATATGAAATTGTACACAGTACACTCAGGGATTTTTCTCTTTAATGTACCCATCTGGGAAATTCAGGTTGTAGTTGTGAAGGGCATGCAGAGCTTACCGTCTGTAAAATAATAAAACAAGTCTCTCAAAGGCTGCAAGTTTGTTTCACAACAGAACTAACATGCATTTTTACCTTCTGCCCTCCAGGCCTGCATAGGGAACAATATGCATGTCTGCCAGCAACAATCACTTGCACTCTTAAGAACATATCTGACAAAAGAACATCTTTTGCTGGGATGCGGTGCAGATGTTACCCAGGCTCGTTCTGATTCATAGTACGGCCTGTAATGCCGATAGCCAGCGCAGTGAGTCACAGTTTGAATGTGTATGGGATGTTTTCACTGGGCACATTGGAGCGGCTGTCCGCCCTCAGCGAAATGTCCTAGTGTTAGCCTGATGATGTAAAACTGTGATTAACGTATGCTTCCTCTCCTCCCCCATATTCGCTTCCACTTTGTCCCCCAACTGTCTCCTTTGCTCTCTGCTTCTCAATAACTCTGCCCTCTTTGCCCCCTCTCTCTCCCTTCATCAATCTTTCCACATCTTCCTTTATTCTCTCTTTCCACACTCTGTATGCCACCTGCCTACCTTATGCTCTTTCTCTCTTTTGTCCTACAGGCATCAGAGCTGGGGATGACATCAGCATTTTACAAGTACATACTCACCACCATGGTAAGACCTCACCAACTCCACACCTCTCTCTCGTTTTTGTCTTCTCTTCTGTTTTCACTTGTTCCTCTCTCTTGCTTCTCCTCTTCTGTCCCTTTATGAGCAAGCCAAGGTGCTAAGGCGAAGAGAGTATGAGATAAAGGGAGGGGAGAGAGGTGATGGAGAGAGAGAGAGAGAGAGAGAGAGAGAAAGGAGGTGAAGGATGAGGACAGGGAAAGAGAGAGAGAGATCAGAGGAGTGAACACACTGTACAAAGATGTGGAAGTGCAGAGGAGGATGGCAAAGAAACTGAAGAAAAAGGGGTCTGAGGTGAAGGTGATGACTGACGTGATGCGCCCTTTTTCTTCTGCCACCCGTCACCTTCTCTACGCTTCCAGTGTTTTTCATCTGCCTCTTTGATACACTCCCCTCCCCTCCTACCATTTGAATTAATGTGTCACTTTATACCGTGCGCCTGAATATTTTTTTTATTATTTTTTCCCCCTACATGATGTGCTCTTGTGCTTTAGATGCCACGTCTTGTGTGTATATCTCTGTGAAAAGCTACTGGAGTCATTTCCATCAACCTCTCTTTCCCCCTGTATCACTGTTTCCCCATTTTCCTAGCTGTCTATATCCTTTTTTTCTCTCTCCATCAGAGATTAGATGCTGTCACCCCCCCGTAGCCTCTCTTTTTCTTTATCTCACTCTTCTTTGCACGGTATTTTTCTTCTGTGCTAAGATTTGATACACTGTCAACATTGTCACTCACCTCAATTTTTTCTCTCTCCCTCTCTGCAAACACACTCCCCGCTCCTTCTCCTCCTCCTTTCCAGGACTTCCCACTCCTGAGATTGGATGACATAGTGGATGAGCAGTCCAACATTGTGGGGTTCTCCATGTTTAACACCACCCATCCCTTCTATTTGGAGTTCATCAGGAGCCTCAACCTCTCTTGGTGGGAGGGTTGTGACCTAACGTACCCCGGCCCTGCGGTCAGTCCTCAGCACACTCATGCATGCACACATGCAGGAGTAATTTTCAAAGCTTTGTTCGTATGCCACGTAACATTAAGCCACTTTATTCCTCACACTGATTCATGGAGCCGTTAAAGAGATTCAGCTAGTCTTTTGCTTGTATTTAATGTGTATTGATGTATCCATCTGTGTTTCCTCCCCACTGGTTTACTCATACCTCACATCTCTTCTCTCCCTTATTTTCCCTGCCTCCCTCCCTCCGTCCCTGTTAACCGTTCAATCATCTGTGCTCGCACATCTTTCCTCATTGCATCTACTCCCTTGACTCCTTTGTCTCTCCTCGCTGTGTTTCCATCCCTCCCCCTTTTGCCTTTCTCTCCCTCCTTTTCTTGCTTGTCTCCTCTCCCCACTTCCACAGCTCTCGTCAGCGCTGATGTTTGATGCAGTGCATGTGGTGGTGGGGGCGGTGAGGGAATTGAACCGCAGTCAGGAAATCGGAGTGAAGCCACTCAGCTGCACCTCACCTCAGATCTGGCAACACGGGACCAGTCTTATGAACTACCTGCGCATGGTAAACGCTTATCGAAAAATCACCTGCAGATATACACGCTCATACACCATGTAGAAACAAATACATCACGAGAGACGCTGGTAAGATATGGGCTTCAAGTGTGGTATCAGTTTTACAGAATTTAAATGTTTTTTAGCTGTCCACACTTGATATTAGCATAAAATGTTAGAAAATAGTGAAAATACCTATTACAACAAGGGGGCATCTTCAAATTAAGCTGAAATTATCAACTAAAAATTAATTGGCATGGATTTTGATTGTTGATTAGATAATTGAACCATCTGCTTTACCTGTAAATTATTTATTTCACAGTCTAATTACTCAGTGTACTTTAACATCTCAATATCATCACTATCAATACATAAGCATCGCTCTATACTAGTGTTGTCACAATATTGGAATTTCTAACTTTAATACAATACCTTAAAATATATTGATATTTGATACCATTATCAATTCCACAGGGAAAACTGACATTCAGGGCATAAAATTAAACATTTTAATTGAACGATAAATACAGAAAGACTGTTGTAAACATACATAATAAGAGAACGAGAAAATATTCTGAATCATTGTACCGATAAATCAATATTTTAGACAACACTACTGTATACATTATGTATACTTTATCTTCTGTCATATCCACCTGCCTCATGTATGTAAAACAACCTGTTATCTTAATCGTCCCAGATTGATTTCATATATTTCACATTTCAGCACCCTTTGCATTCTGCACCATTGCACTACTGTATTACTGTTTACAATGTCATCATGTTATCATGTTGTTGTTTTTATAATATATATATATATATATGGACACTTTTTATATATATCTGTATCTATACATAGAAGTCAATTTTTTATAGTAGTCAAATGTTCATGTCCTTGTTTTAACTGTATGCCTATTTCTATTGAGAGCAACATAAAAACATACTCAGATTCCTTGTATGTGTACAGACTTGGCCATGAAATTCTGATTCTGATTAGTCGTATGAGTCATTTTTCAAGCAAAAATGCCAAATACATGTAGGTTCCAGACTCTAATACTTGTACTATAAACTAATACTGATTTTACTGCTTTTCTTTATGGTATGTGACTGTAAACTGAGTTTTGTATGGCTGGTCTGATAATACAAAACACTTTGAAAACCTTGATCTCAAAGAAATTGCTTTAGTATTTTACAGTTCTTCCGACGTTTCTTAGACGAAACAATGCATGGATTATAAATGGATAATGAAGATAGTCATTCACTACGTTTACATGCACAAATATTCAGTTTGTTGCCCTTATTTGGAGAAAAGACAATAATCCGACTAAGCTGTTTACATGACTGATGAACATGAATATTCCATGTATACTCCTGTTTACAAGCAGCCATGCTTACTGCGATTAACGTGCCCTAATGTGTCGTTAATCACGTCAAAATATGGAAAGTGGAACGGCTGGAGCTGCTGTCTTTTGTTTCTTTGCATCATAATAGGATTTTTTCAAGGTTTTCCACCAGTGGCGGACTTTCAGTCCTTCAGCCACCTTCTTGAAAAGATCAGTGTTGCGATATTTGCACATATCTAAAAACCTGTTGATATCCAAGTCTTTTATGATGTTTAAAAGTAGAAGTGTTTCTTCTTCCAACCAGAAATGTGGGCTTTTCTTTTGAGCATGCATCTCTACCCCAGCCTTGCAAACTGTTGATCTTTGTCCAGCACATCCATACAGAGCCAACCAAAAACAGACAACAGGCTGTGTGTCACAAACTGTGACATACTTTGAATGTGCTATATACATGCCCAAAATGCTCTTAAAATCCAAATAATACCGGCATATCCCACATGTCTATTTCATTTGGAATTGGGCCTAATTCGGGATGTTGTTCATATGACCTGTATCAAATTCAGAATATTGTCATATTTGGAATAATAATGGTATATTAGTGTACATGTAAACACAGTTATTGCAGCCCCATATTGTCAAAATAACAGCCCAAAACCCAAATATTTCAAATCTCCAATATTAATCAGAGAAAAGTATTTGAGAATAGAACTATTTGAGAATGTACAATAACACATTTTTGACACTTCTGCTGGAAAAATTACCGATTAACGATTATCACTAATCAAAATTTTGGTTAATTACATTTCTCTCAATTGAGTTTTGGTCACAGTACATTTTGTATCATCCTCATCTCATGTTGCATGTAACCTCTCTCTCTCTCTCTCTCTCTCTCTCTCTCTCTCTCTCTCTCTCTCTCGTTGCTCTTTGTCATCTCCCATGTCTGGTCGTCTGTGTTTCCCTCTCATCGACTAACTGTTGTCAAGGCAGCCTGAGCCCCATCTCTCATTGCCTCCTTCCCACCGGCCCGACATCTGCCTTTGTTAGTCAACATCATGGTGTGCTCCATCTTCAGCACCGTGCCATTCATCATAGGTCTCGCTTACTGTGCCAGCACCTGGGTTTTTGGAGAAGCAGAGCTGAGCTGTGAGGTGCAGTTTTGAGTCTTATTAGGGAGCTGTCGACTCTCTCCGCTGCTCTATCTGAGCCTCTCGCTCAGCCACTCACTTTCTCCTAGTTGATCCAAAACTGATCACCCCTGTCTGGTCCATCCTCAGACACTTCTTCTGTCTCTCTAGCTCTTTCTTCCTTTTTGTCTTTCACCCTCTTCTTCCTCTTAATGACTGTAGATAGTACCTGTCTGCCTAATCATGACGGATAGTGAGAAGAAAAATGTTTGGTTTCATATAGAGGCTTGCCATTCTCCTTTTTCTCCTTTTCTCTTCTCTGTCTCTGCCTATGCTCCTCTCATTTTCTTATCTTCCCTTCTTCTGTTTTCCTTCCCCTCTCATGCCTTCTCACCTTACTCTCTCCATCTGCCTGCCAGGTGGAGTACGATGGTCTGACAGGGCGTGTGGAGTTCAACAGCAAAGGTCAGAGGACCAACTACACCCTGCGGATCCTGGAGAAACACCGAGGAGGCCACAAAGAGGTCAGGAGTCACCTTTTATCACACAGCAGCCAGGTCACACTGCCCATAGGCTTTGGGTTAGTTACAGGTCACCCATCTGATTTCACTGTGCTCGAGGAGGTGTTTAACACTGAGGTCAGCCTCATCGCAGGCTCCCCTGATAGCAGCCAAATATCTTTACTTTGGGATGTTGGTTTGATGTGTTTCACCTGTCGGTGCCGGAGTTTAACCTGCCATCAGATGTGGGTCATGTTGCAGCTGCAAATGCGTGTTAACATTTATTTTATCTCAAGGTTACAGGAATATATTAGCTGCTTGTGTTGTTCATCAATTGAATTTCAAACGGTTGCAAGATTTTACAGCAGGTCTTTAGTATTGAGTCTGGGGAAAGTATTTTTTGTAGTCTTATGAATGTGTTTTGATGTTTGGACCATTTCTGTCCCAGGCGTTTTGTTTGTTGTTGTTTGTTTGTTGGATGTTGACTAGATGTTCTCTGATCTTTAAACATACATAAATGGCATTTTATTAATGGATGGTTTATTTTCTTCCCATGCCTTCAAACAATGACATTAATTGGTGGGAATTAGTGCAATTGGCCTCAAGCTTAGTACAGAGTGTCATCAGCATTATATATACAGAGTGTCATCAGCATTATATATACAGTCATCCTACTGTATAATGCTGTATATAATATTTACATGGAGGCTTAATGCGTTTATTTTTCTTTTGGTCTTGTATAGAACTGATTTCCTCAGGCTTAGTTTGCATTGGTTTCAGTGTCTTGTTTTCCTCTTGACCTCAACCTGATCAGGTCTTGCAGTTGACATACACTAAACTAATGTGGTCATGACAACAGCGCTGTTTCCTCTTTAGTTTGTGCGTTTTGGCACGATGATTCTAAAACAATGAAATGTTATTACAGTGAACAGATTTTTCCAAGTACGCCTGCTCCTCTTCGACAATGCCCTGCAGTCTATTCACATTGTTATTGTACATATTTACATCAGGCATCTGAGCAGACAAGTCAAAATATCAGAAGGGCTTTATCATCATGGATATTATCATCTACCGCCTTTCAGTGGAACTGCATCGCAACAATGTGATCATATCGTGTTGTTGTTTTATAAAACCCTGTTGTTTATATGCATGAATCCAACCCCATTTGGGTATGCTTAAAGTGAGACTGATGCTGTCTCTTGAATCATATACTTAATGTTGTGGTACATTATATACTTACTTGTGTAATGCCGGAATTTTGACAGGGTAGTGTTCTAGGGCTGCAACGATTAGTTGACTAATTAATGACTAATCGATGATTAAAATAATCGGTGATTATTTTAGTAGTCAACTAATCAAATTCAGTCATTTTTCACAGAAAAGTACAATAAAAGTACCTCAAAATACTCTTACTGCAGCTTCTTACGTTCAAATATTGGCAGCATTACACACTCTCCCATGATGGTGAACTAAAACCCTTTGGGATGAGTACGAAACAAGACATTAGATGACATCATTTTGGGGTTTGGGAGAGACAGACCGACATTTTTCAACATTTTAACACATTTTTCGATAAAATGATTAGTCGACTAATCAAAGATATAATCAACAGATTAGTTGACAGTGAAAATAATCGTTAGTTGTAGCCCTATAGTGTTGTGTCAAACCAAACATGGCAGTTGTGCACTTAGCAGAAATGAAGATTGCAAGATTTGCCAGCTTTTTTCTTCTGCTCCACGAATTGCAACCCAGCTTAGTATTATCGCCAGCATTTGACAAACAGTGATCACTCACCCAAATATATGTTTGCTGTATCTTCTGTATTTATTTATTGTATTAGAAATGGAAACAACCAAAAAACAAAAATGGTTGAAATATAACGTTACTGCTCATACAGCTTGGGGTTTGTGTCTGATACTGGCTGGCTCCATCACCAGCTGATCTACAAATATTGATAGCTGCTGCAAACACTAAACTCTTCCACAGTGAAGATGACCATTTAACACACCAGAGATGGGCGGATCAATACCAAAATATCGATACAATAAATACCACAGTTTCATTTTGAAGATCAATCCTTGCGTCAATAAGATTGACAGCAAAATAGGGTTTAGTTCTCTCCTCTACATCGAACGTGTTTGTGTTTCAAGAGTAAAACTGTCAAACAACGTTCCATTGCCGCGAACACATCTAGTGAATGTGCTGTTGGCTTCTCTGCTGCTTTTTTGTTGTCTGCACTCAAACATGTGTTGGACATGCACAGCACACCACAGCGTGCCCCTGAACAGTTCAATCTGATACATAATAGCAGTGATGGCCTAATGAAAGAGAAAAAGGAGGAGGAGGGAAATGCTTCAGCACACAGAGGCAGAGTTCACTGGCAGTCTGTACAGAGAGGTTCATATAGGAAATAGCCAGGTATATTGTAGTAAAATCATACCCTTAACATTAGTTAATGTTACATTGTCAAACTATAATTGGTCATCATTAGCTGTTTAGCAGACTGATTATTCACCTCAGAAATAACGGCACGCTGCTCTACCCTACATGCAAGTTCACAAGCCACGTTTAAAAATGAAAAGTGATCTATCAGTATTGGTGATTCTGGCCCTTTTTTACTTGGTATCTGATCAAAAACAATCTTTGTGGTATCACCCACCCCTAATGCACGTCCATACATTAAAAAGCTTATACCACAATACATGTTTCTTCAGTGCCTGAAGATAAAATATGCCACTGTTAGCTAGTTAGCAAGCTAACATTTGCAATTGCTTTATCAAACTAGTTCAGGCAGTCAACTCGAGCTGCACTGATTCATACACACACGTCCTACATCACTGTCATCTACAAAACACACCCTCCCGAGTTGGTGGTCTATTTAAGCTGCAAAATCCTCCCAGCTCTCCCTTTGCATTGTCAATGCCGCTGCTGCCCTGCATCAGTACTGCTGCTTGCTCCTTCAGCCCCACCTCCATATAAACATATCTGGGAGGAGTGATGACGCCGAACTCTAACTATGTTCTGTTGTTGAAATAAACATTTAAAACGTGATTTGTCTCCTCTCTGGTCGCCATTTCACAAATTTGAAATCTGTGGTCCTGTCCTTTACGCTGTGTAGGCAACATGGTAACTAAGGGTGAGAAGAGTCCAACGTTCCACACATAACTTTTTGACCATTAGAAGTGCACCATCCAGGTACTTGTAGTTCACTGTATTTGGCTGTACTTCCCAATTTGAACCCACTTACGCGATCTAAATACCAAGTGTAAGTACAGGTATCGGATTTGAGACACAACATTTGTAACTTTGCTGAACGGCAGCCATAAGTGGCAATCTCAGGGTAATCATAAATGTTAAAACATTGACCAACAACAAAGCAAAATTTTGCAGACTTACTCAGTAATGTCAGTTTCATATCACTGTCTATGTAAACTTTGCTACCATGAGCTAACATACGTCACCTGGTCATATCCGACCAATTGAGGCTGTAGCAGCAAAACCATAGAGTGCATTGAATAACGCGAGTGTGCGTTTTATTGCTCAAGACTTCAACCTTTGATTTGAGAGAGCAATCTTGTCATTTCATCTTTGAAAAGTCACATAGTCTCACTTTACAGTTTTTGTTCTACACATAAATTCACTTTCATTCATTTTCCCGCAGCAGACCTCCCCTGTCAGTCTGGGCATTTCATCTTTTTGATGTACTAGTACCATGCCACTACACATTTGTTAAGGGTAGTTGGACAGTGTGGGGAACCAAAATAAAACGTTGGCAGACCCAGCCAACGAGGTGTTTAGGACCCTTTTTGGTGGCGTTATTCTGTCAATAGACTCCTCCAGTGAGCATTAAAAGGAAAGGTGTGGGAAGATAGAAACCAGAAATGCATTTCACCTGCATTTCAAAATCGAGATTAAATGAAGCATAAGTACACACATCACTGCAGATCCAGACTGAGGGAATTACATTGCGGTTCATTGACTGGAGGAAAACACTTTCTCCTCACCTTCCCTTAATACGTCTTGCTGGGCGCTGCTAAAGGCCAAATGCCTCCCATGCTAACACTAAATACCACCTGATAACCACTCGTACATCCCGACTTTAACTCTGTGGGAGAGTTCGGTTGCGATAATTAACATTTTAACTCTGCCCACCTCTCTGCGCAGCAGCAGCTACACTGTAGAGAAGACCATTCTTAAATGTCAGGGCAGGATAAAGGGTGTTATAGAAAAACTGTGATTCTGTCTGAGGAGTCATTACCTCTCCTCTGACCTATTGAAAGATGTACAGTAATATCTCCCAGAGAAATGCCTCTGTGAGCCGCAGTTCCACCCATGCACGCTGGTTAGGTCATAATCACACACTTATGTACCTAAGTGACTTTACTGTCTACATAAAATGGAAATATGTGTGCTGTTTTTTATGTAATTTAAGAAAGGTGTCAGTAAATGAAAATAGACATAGCTATGAAACTCCTGATTATGAATGCTTTTATGTTTTTCTTGCCATCTTGTCGCAGCTCATTACTCTGCCTGTACACAGTAGTGGCTTTTTCGTTGTGTTTTACAATGCATGGTATTTGCCGGTATGTGTATGGCTCCACTGGGGGCAATTAAATCAACATGCATATACAGTGTGTAAGGGTATGATACCAAAGCAAAGCATAAAATATACAACATGCAAAGGTACTCTTTACAATGGACCAATCGTCTTAACACATTCACTGAAATACTTATTTGCTCTAGATGGTGTGTGACCTACAGCAACAGAACAGTTGCATAGATTTTCTCTTGCTTTCTCTCCTCTGTTAGATCGGGGTCTGGTACTCCAACAACACCTTGGCAATGAACTCCACCAGTCTGGATATCAATGTCTCAGAGACGCTGGCAAACAAGACGCTCATTGTCACCACCATACTGGTAAGGTCGCCGTTACCTTCTGGACCACCGCGCTGGTGAGGTCAGAGTTGTTTTCGTGTTGCTGCGCAGGCTGTGCTGCAGCTCATGCTGTGTTGTGGTCTGTTACTGCTAATTTTGCTGTCACTGTTAGCTGTCATAGAAACTGACAGAGCGCTGAGAGAGATGTGTTGCTAAATTCAAACTGCCAACATCCTGGTTTGGTCTGATAATGTCGGAACACTACAAGTTGTCTCCTTCTGGTTTCCATATGAGTAATGTTGTATCAGAAAATCAATAAATCCCTTACATGATGCTGCTCCATCATCTTCGCCTCAGTGTAGACGTGTAAAAACACCAGATACAGTAAAGCCCCTGCACCACACTGTGCTATAATATAACATCAAATAAGCTTTAATGACTGAATGCTGATGTTACGTATTTGTCAAATAGTAATAGTACATGTTATTTAATGTTACATTGGTAAGAAAACAACATAGAAAAGATAAATGATCACAAGAACAGTTAATCTTAAACAACACAATCATTTAAAACATAAAATAGCAAAGAAATGGTAGAACAGAGAGTGTTTTCTCGTTTCTTTGTGGCAAGCATACATAATTTGCAGCGAGAGATGTTGCTGTTTTCTCCCAGGCTGTACATAACTTTACTCTTGTTTATGTGCTGTGGGATCTCTGGCAATATATGCTAGCTTTATGAAATTATTTTTTCCTTTAGGTCAGTATATTTAGTACACTTACTGAAAAAGACAGGCTCTGTTCTTATAATGAAAACACAGCCTGTCTTCTCTTGGCAACTTTGTCTGCCTCTACCTATTTCAATGGCCAGACTGTGGTCACATCCCTCTGTCCTCTTGGCTCTCTCTCCAACATCTGCAGCCATTTTACTTATTTTAAAAGAGCTCTCCAGCAACTTAGTATTGGACTTCCACAATGGTTCTTTCTCACAAGAGACAGATTAAAAGAAGAATGGTCTAAATTGTTTCTGCAGAAGCCGGGGAGATATCCTGACTTTCAGACCAAAGTATTGCTCAAGCTCCAAAATGCTGAATCCCACTATTCCCATGATGCAGCTGTATATAATCTTTTTGTTAGACTCTCCCAGCCTGGTTTAGTCCCATGTCTTTAAAACTCAGTGCACCCAGTTTACAGGCTTTCCAGCACAACTGTTCTGGCAAACTGAGTAGTACTTTCCAATGTGTATAACTGCTGGAATTACCTTAAAGGAATACTTAACCAATGAAATGACCATTTGTTAATCAGTTATTTGTGCTGTGTTACCTTGAATTCCTGAAGAAAACTTTGTTTGTCTAGCGAGCTTCCATGGAAGGCAGCACACATATTGATTTACTGGGGACCACATTTAACAGCAGCAAACCTATATGAAAACATCTGATTACAAACACTCACAGATCTTATGCACTATAATCCAGGTCTTATTCATCCAGTCGTATGCTCTTTTTTCCTGGAGGCACACAAGAACTAAAAACCCCACTGTGAAAAGTTGTGGATGGTACCAATGGAACCGTTCCGTACCGTCCCCATTTTTGGTCCCCCCTCTGTTGGGGTACCTAGCACACAGATCTGGCACTAAAAGGTGGAGCTGTGAACACTGCAGTTCGTTAAGCGGACGGTCACTCTGCTCAGGGCTGAGTTGTGGCTGATTTTGAGGCTCATGTAACCACTGTTCATACTGTGGAGAGTTTTACATATATTAGTAAACTGTAACTATGAAAATAAAGGATGTTTGTGTGAGAAAAATAACTCACCGGACCAAATGCCGGCAACCTCTAAGGTGAAACGTTTACTTGTGATGTTACTCAATGTTTGAGTTGACGACATGACTTCATCAGCACACCTTAAATTTAACCTGACCACTTTGACCATTACTTTAGTTTTTATTGTCTTCTTGAATGACAGACACTTTTAGTGATGAGTGGATCTTCAAGTGTTTAAAAATATATATTAAGTTTGTCTAGATTATGTGAACTGCATGTATCCCAATCCTCCCTTGGAGAAAAGAAAGCGTCATGGAGCGTCATTCCTGTGCGCTCCAGCAACACTAAACACCTGAGCTTGCCTTTAAAGAACTAAATGCACAAACACGCTATTATTAAATATCCCATGGAGAGAGACTCTCATTGCAGCCTGTTCTATTTATTCTGAGAATGTCAGTGTGCAACCCTGTTTTGTGGAAGGTAAACGAAGTGCAGACTGATACAGGAGAAAATACAGTGAGTGCTGGACAGAGCAGTGAGTGACAACAACATTTTCAACAACTTTCATTCACTTTCTTGCCAAGAGTTAAATGAGAATATCAATACCAATCTCATGTCTGTACAGTATGAAGCTACAACCAGTTAGCTTAGCTTAGCACAAAGACTGGACTGCACTGATTAAACAGTCAAGCTATGAAAATTAAAGGGGTGCTATGTGAAGTTCAGAGCGTTTGAGTTGTCTGGACATGGTTCTCAACATTGAGGTGGGTGAGCTGGCAGCTGGTGGCTAGCAGCTAATGGTGCTAACTCCATGAACAGCACCTTTGCAACACGATTTCAGCAGTATTAACTGTATGAGAGCAGTGTGAAGCAGCAGTGAAGAGCCAGCCAGTGGGATACACACATTCACGTACACGCATGTACGGCCACGACCACAACAAACCAGCCAGAAGCTTGTTACAGTACACACAGAGGTAGTGTTACATTATCCTCTCCTCAGGATACCGTTACTCCACTATATCTTGACATGGCAAATAGTGGTTAGTTGCTATATTAATGCTCTGAATGTCGCATACAGAACCTTTAATTAGTGATTAGTGAGATTTAGAAGTGGTGTAGGTGGATTATGTTAACATCGGATAGAGCCAGGGTAGCAGCTTCGCCCTGTCTCCCAGACTTAGTATGAAAGTGGCATTGATCTTCTCATCACTCTCTGCCAGAAAGCAAATTTCCCAAATTGTTGGACTACTTATTATTGGCATAACAGCTAATTTCTTACAATAGAAATCCCTGTTTTTGAATCATGTGCCCAATACATTTCAGTCAGTAATCCATCCTCTTAGTTTTGGATTGAACCCCCTCATGTTTCTCCCCATGCTCAGGAGAACCCATATGTGATGCGCAGAGACAACTACCAGGATTTCCAGGGCAACGACCAGTATGAGGGCTTCTGTGTCGACATGCTGAAGGAGCTGGCAGACATCTTGAAATTCTCCTTCAAGATCAAGCTGGTGGATGACGGGCTGTATGGGGCTCCAGAGCCCAACGGCTCTTGGACCGGCATGGTTGGAGAGCTAATCAACAGAGTGAGTGTACTCTCCCCCTCCCTCCCTCCCTCTGTCTCACACACACCAGAAACATGCTCAAATGTTCTAGCCCGTGTGTCTGCAAACAGACACTTATGCTGAACACACACACATGCACGCACACATCCACACTATCGCTCACGCTGTAGCCCCAAACCACAACTCTGCTGTAACTTCCCATGTCTCAAATTGCCCTCAGAGGGGAGTAAGACTCTTATCTAGGACAAAAGCTGACTTGATAATTCCCCAAAAGAGAGTGGTAGCATTGCCTAAAATTGTCTGCACCATCTTTCCTCGCAGTAGCCCTCCTCGTTCCAAGTCTGTCCCCCCTCTTTCTCTGCCTGTCCAGGCCTAGTGCGCCTCTGACAGACACTCTGGTTGAAGCAGGCTAATGAGAGCCCCTCTTTGCTTAATTACCATACGGTATACTTCAATTACCAGACTGTGGTCCCTTTGTGAGGCCTGCCACACTGGTGCTCCCCCAGCTCTCCACGCTTCCTCTCCCTCCATGCCCTCCCCACTGCCTGATCACTCAGCTCTAATTAGCAGCCCATGTTCATCAATTAGCTTTTAATGGAAGAGATGGAGGGGAGGCAGAGCAACCAGAGACCTGCAAGGTTTTGTACAGGTGGAAAGACCAGCCACCTTGTGCTTACTTGCAATTAGCCTAATTTGGACGGTGGATAATGTGTGTGTGTGCGTGCCAGAGGGTAAGAGACTGAGTGCACGTCTGTATGTTTTTCCAAATGTGTTGTCAAGTGCCATAGTCAAACTTCATTTTTCATTCGGGAAATCAACATTTTATACAAACAGAGCTCTCATCTACCCAGTGCTGCCTCAAGTGTCGTTCTATTTTTGCGCACTTACCTGACCACTTGTCGTTTTTCTCCCTGACTCTTCTCCGCTGCCTCTCTCTTTCTCTCGCCCCCACTACTATCTGCCCTCCAATCTCTCTTTGTCAATCCTACAGAAAGCAGACCTGGCCGTAGCAGGCTTCACCATCACGTCAGAGAGAGAGAAAGTTATCGACTTCTCTAAGCCGTTCATGACCCTGGGGATCAGCATCTTGTACAGAGTTCAACTGGTGAGGGTGTTATCTGGGGCCGCAGGGCGCCCGCTGGGTGATACTCACTACAGATCTTGTATTGGATTTCATTTCTTTTGTTGGCGCTGCTTTTAAGCTGGCAGGGTCATACAGAAGACGACGGGCTACACTTGTTTGAAGATTCTTAAGGAGTCAGACTGAATATTACATAAGAGTTGATCTCATCTTTGAAGCCGAGGATTGTGTTTGTGTAGTATGCTGCATGCTGCATTCACTCTGTCTACAGTGAAATTTATAGGTGTAATTTAAATTGCCCAATAAGTCAGTGCTCTGTAACTGGGTAACAGTGGCGGCTTTACATTGCTAATGAGGTTTTGGGTCTAAGCCAAGTATGCTTCAGCAGTAGGCATTGTGAAACGGAGCGTTTATGGGTTGTAGCATTAGCGTATCAAAGCACTGCAGACTTACTATCAGCGTGCAGTGAAGGACACTGCCCTCCTGTGGTACAGAGGGGACATTCCCTGCCTGCTGAGACATGACACCTTGTTTTCTAACACACTGTACCCTCCTGTCTGTCTGTCTGTCACTGTCTCTTCCGCTCCATCCATCTCTCTCCTTCTCTTTCTCCTCTTCCTCTTCCTCTCTAAACCAGGGTCGGAAGCCGGGTTACTTCTCCTTCCTCGATCCCTTCTCTCCAGCTGTCTGGCTCTTCATGCTGCTCGCCTACCTGGCTGTCAGCTGTGTGCTCTTCCTGGCTGCAAGGTCAATACATTACATCACACACTGTACCCACTGTCTGCAGTTCTATTGCCATTTATCTTGTTGAACACGAGTCGCCTGTCATATATCGTAATTTCTTACCTTATACGCCCTCCTGCAGAATGATTGACAGGGATCGAAATGACTTATTGGCAGTGACAGAGGTGCATTTCTGTACTACAGTTTGACCCCAAGGTCATTCCATTGTACCTGTGTTTCCCCACCAGGCTGAGCCCCTATGAGTGGTACAACCCTCACCCGTGTCTGCGAGAGCGCAGAGACATGTTGGAAAACCAGTACACGCTGGGAAACAGCCTGTGGTTCCCTGTGGGAGGCTTCATGCAGCAGGGATCAGAGATAATGCCTAGAGCCCTGTCCACCAGATGTGTTAGTGGCGTGTGGTAAGTGGCAGTTGTGTTTTTATTAAGTCCCTCTTCACCCAAAAGTGTGTTTTGAGTGAAGTGCGGAATGGTGTGTGTGCAGAGTTTGACATGAGTCTGCTGAAGGGGGAGTTTCTCTGTGCTAAATCTGTGTTCAGACGTGGTCATACAAGCATGATTTTGTTGCATCCCAGCTAGTTTGTAAGCTGGTCATGATCCAGTATGCAACTCAAGCTTCCAGTGCACATACACTGAGAGGAGACTGTCAGTGAAGTCGGAGCATTCAGCAAAAACAAATTTGGAAGTAAAAATTATTTGCATGTTGGTAGATTCCAGATTTTTGAAATTTGAAGAATTGTGTTAAATTTGTGTTGAACATTGTTACATATTGGTTATATATTTAATTAATATGTCGCCACATTAATGATATTAAAATGCACAAAGTCAGAGGTTTAAGTGCTAAACAAAAAGAAATGCTGAATGGTAGAAACAGTTTAGATAAAACATTAATACTGTAGTAATAAAACAGTAATAAAATACAATAGAGACACATTAAAATTATAAAATGGCTAGAAGACAAGATTATATGATAGAACAATTCAACAGGACGGGGTAGTAAATACAGATTACAGCAAGAAGTCCAAGCCATGCAAATGAGTCTTTAAACAAAGTATATTAACAGAATCAGCCATTTTGATAATATATACTAAACTGTTCCAGATTTTAAAGGCATACTAAGCAGGGTTTGTCACTTACTGTTTGTAAACACAACAGTTAAACTTGGCCCCTCTTCCTCGGCTCAGTGAGACTGAGAGAGCAGCAGTGGTCAAGCGAATCAGAGGGAGCGGCGTTAATGAGAACAAAGCAGTGACTCTGAGAAATAACACATTACTCTCTGATTGTTTCATGGCGGTTACATTCTAAAGCACAAATAAAAACACCCACACTTCAGCACAACCCCAGAGGAAGGTGCTACATTGCTGGATTTTGGTGGTCAATTTAGCTGAAGCGCATGCCTCATCCTGTCCGGCTGGCTTCTTTGCCCTGTGTTTGTGGCTCCACCTCGCCCTCGACGAAACAGACACAGGGACCTGCAGCTCGCACCTACAGAGCAGACGAGAGAGAGACGGAGACAGTGGTGTATCCTGGTCCCGACCTCACGCTGCTGTTGTCTGGGCCTGCACACCACTACCCAAAGGCTGACACCCAGACATGTCTTGAACAAACCAAAATAGGAAGAAAATAAGGATAAACAGGCAGAGGGCAGGTTCTCTGCAGACACAGACACCACCACACACTTCTAGTGAATCATAAGTGACTTTTGTGTGAGTCTATATATTGTTTTCTTTAGTTCACTGGTAACCAGTTTCCTCTTGAAAAACCTGCGTTGTTTCCTCAGGGTTGCTTTCTACGGCAGCACACCCGCTGTTTGAGATAATAGCATTTACATTTAAAGCATATAGCTGACATATCGCTCATAAGTTTCAGTCCCCTGAGCACCATGCAAACAATACAAAAATGCTAAGTTCACAGAAATGCTGTACTACAGTAGCCTGATGATATTCCTGTGGCAACACAGTGACTGTGAAAGAGACTCACGCACAGTAAAGAAATAATAATCGCTAAGAGCTAAGGAGATAAAGGGAAGAGGAAGACAGGAAGAGCAAATTACACTGAGGTGAGCAAGATACGGGATAGGGGGATATTATTAAGTAAAGTGAGTACATGATGTTCTCCTTGAAGAAAGTTTTGAGACACGCAGGAAAGGTCACAAGAGTGTCCCATCTTTGAGGGTTGTGGGTGTAGAATATTATCAGAAACCCTGAGTGCCTTTTCGTACTGACCCTCAGGGTTGGGTGTTAAGATGATCAATACTGTGAGACAATATATATTTGGGAATGTTTACTGTACTCTCATCTCTGGGAATATTAGGTCATTGTGGGCTTTTTTGCAGATCAATGAGCAGGACTAATTTATAGTAATATTGGATTTTTATAATGATTTTCAGTGGAATAAAATATCTTAATTTGTCAGGTGTTTTCAGACATTTTCCAGGCAATTCACTACATCATCACATGCATCATGATGCAGTCTTACTCCTAATCAATCACCTTATAAATGTGATAATGTAATAATCCATAATGTGCTACCATATTGGCTCACAGTATGGCATTGATTTTGGTATCAAGTATAATGCTAACAAGAGTAATATTGTGATCATTATAAGTAAAGAAGACAAAAATTTGTATTTCCTGAATTATTATCTGGTATTGCTCTGAAAATGTGTAATGAGATTAAATATCCCAGCCACCATTTTGTCAATGATTTATCAGATAATAGTGATGCAAACTGTATGTGCAAGATAATATGCTTGTTTGTAAGTTCTGCATTTAGCTTTATTTACAGCCATTGTACCCCACAGTGTACTGCCCACCTGTGGTGTTCCTATGGGAACAGCAACATGCAGAGAATTAACGTCCTGTAACGATGGTACTAGACTGCTTCTTAAACTTCCACAATGGTGTAGTGCCAGCCAAATGTTCGTAAATGGTGGTGTGTCTGGCTGCTCTGCCATAGTATTAAATTTTATATACCGATATATGTGCAGGCTGTCTGTGTAAGGAGAAGATTATTCCGGCCTTGGCCATCACTGAGTTAGAGCTTGGTGAGTTCTTTCATTCAGACTGTGGAACCTGTGGCACTCCAGTTTGTATGTGGGTGCAGTTTGCTGAAGGTTACCTTTGCATTGCTGTGTATTTACTGTTTTTTTTTTGTTGTTGTTGTTGTTGTTGTATTTTTGTATAAAACGAGGCATTGCGATGGTTCCTGCAGGACGTGGAAGTCATATGCCCCAGCTGTAATCAGCTGACAGCGGCAGATCATCGTTTTTGTGAATCACAAACCAATCAGAGCCCATTCTCACATCAAGGCGGTCCATTTGAATTTAACCTCCTACTCACTGATCCCTGCCACACACTGCTGCTGCCGGCAAAGCTTTGCTTCCACCACCCTCCACCCTCCAGCCTCCAGCCTTTCTTAAGTCCTAACATGGCTCAAAGGTCAAAATGGTATTTAATGTCTTGCTACGGGCCCACTCTTGTATACCTGGGTTTTTTTGTTTGCGTTTTATGCATTGCACTCCTAATTTTGGCTTAGCATGCTGCCTGTTAAATCCAGGGAGCATCTTACTAGCAGAGCCATCTGTGCCAAGCTCAACTGTATTTCCAGCTTTTTTGTTCTTATTATTATTACATGTATCAATTGTGCGATCCAGAAACTGCATACACCATGATAAATGTTTGTATCCATGTCAGTCACCCCTGCTCACCCTTACCACATGTCTCTCCCCCATCTCTCCGCCTCACAGGTGGGCGTTTACTCTGATCATCATCTCCTCCTACACGGCCAACCTGGCAGCCTTCCTGACCGTCCAGAGGATGGAGGTTCCCATCGAGTCTCCGGACGACTTGGCCGACCAGACCAACATCGAGTACGGCACCATCCATGGAGGGAGCACCATGACCTTCTTCATGGTACGACCCACTGCAGCAGCCAGTGTTTGTCTTTGTGTGTGTTTGTATCTGTGCTTACATGTGTTGATTTTAATGGCAGTTGATTTTACTCTAGGATCTGACAGTTTCATGAGTTGCCTTTATGGTGCCAATTTTTCTAAAGTTTTTGCGTTTTGTGTGCATGTGTGATTTAGTGCACCTTTTTTGTCTTTATTGCCGTGCCTAGAGTGAGTTGTTGTCCCCATATTTGCAACTATATCTCTGAGTTCCGCTGTTGTTTTCTTTATGGCTGTTTGTGTTAAGTGGCTGACTGCCTGTGTTTGCTTATGAGAGCGCTCGCAGCATCTGTGTCGGCATCTGTGTTTGTCATAGAACGGTGTGTGTGTGTAGGTGGGTGTGTGTGTGTGTGTGTGTGTGTGTAGGTGTGTTTGCATGTGGGAGTGTGTGTAGGTGTGTTTGCATGTGGGAGTGTGTGTAGGTGAGTGTATAAAAGATATGTATTTGTTTATTTGTGTGCATGCATGGGAAATGGCTGCATGCCAAATTGTGAGTCTGTGTGTTTTGCATTCTCGTGGTGTTTGTCCATATTGAGGATATAAGAAAGAGTGCTCTATGTTTGCCTACATAAGCCATTTTCAGTGCTACAGTACATTACCCCACTCAATGCCTAATCCACACAAACACACACACGCACACATACAATACACACCGGCATTATTACACACAGATGCCGCCCTCTCTACTCTTTCCTTTCTTCTCGCACACTGAGATGCAACATGTAATTGTACACTTTAAACACTTAATCCTGTTTTAGAGCTTACCATATTTTGCTAAGTGCTGAACCACCTCCCGTGTGCTGATTTACCTCCATCTGTATGAAAGATGATGCATCAGCTACGCCATGAGCGAATAATCTGTTGCCTTGATTCACGTTGCTTTATTCCCCTCTACTCTCCCCTCTCCTTTTTACATCTATTTGCCATTGATGTTTTACTCTGCCTGTCATTATTCACACTCTGTGCTACGTATACTTCCCTCCCTGTTTATCGAGGATGCATCTCTCTCTTTTTGTTTTTACCATCTTCCCCCTTTCATTTTTATCGACCTCCATTTCATTTCTGCTTCAAAGACAGATGATAGGACACGTTAGGAACCCGAGTGTACAAACACACATCTGTAATCAGTGTTTAAAGGAATACCTCACCCGCAAAATGCCTATTTGTTTATCAATTACTCGTGTGTTATTTTGAAATGTTGAAAAAAACAGTTTTTCTCGCATGCCTCCATGGTGAACAAAGAATCCAAAAAAGGCACACATTCTTCATGAATTAAAGTAAACAGGGCCCGTGTTTAACAGCAGCAAAACTATATCAAAACATCTGTTTACAAGCTCTCACACAGCCCGTGCAGTGTAATCCAAGTCTCGTTTATACAGTCGTATGCTCAGTACTTCCCAAACACATGCATTTTCACTAAAATGTTCTATATTTACTCTAATATTCTAAAACATGTCTCATGCACGGCTTAGTAGCCAGCCTGGGCACACGCATGTGTTTAAACTCTGCACATGCTCAGGGTGCTATTCGTAGGCAGAAGTGTTTTAAATTATAACATTTTAGTGGAAATGCATGTGTTTAGGAAGTACTGAGCATACGACTGGATGAATGAGACTTTATACCTCAGGAGTTGTGTGAGTGTCTGTGAACAGCTGTTTTGACGTAGTTTTGCCGTTGTTGAATGTTGCTCCCTGTGACCTTAATTCATGATAACTTATTTAAAAATAAGTATTCAATTAAAGTAATTATTGAAATAAAGTTGATCTGTATCCCCAGTGCCTCTGAATACAACAAAAAATGTCATGTTTTGCAATCCTGAGTCTCAAAAAAACTAAAGATAGGCAGCGATATTCACCTGATGTCTCGTCTGTTCTAGTGTAATCTTTTCTGGTTTAAGTGATAAACCACTGGGACTACATCCTTCACTTCTGTTAGCCCAACAGCGCCTCAATATAGCTTAGTTTGTTCCAAGAACATGGCATATCTCTGCAGATACAGTCACACAGAACTGCCGCCGCTTTAGAAGTGCTTGTGGGGATATTTTTGACATTTGCAGTCTGTTTCCCCCTCCGTTCACTCTTTATGCTGAGCAAAGATCATTTCCTGCTGGTTCTAGCTCCATACAGGGCACACAGATACATCACCAAACTATCACCAAAATCATATGCAAACCTTAACTAAGGTTTTAGTTGTCTGAACTTAACCAAACTTTAACCAAAGAGCTGACAGAGAATATATGAGGATTTTGAACCACAAATATAACGTGATAGGTTTAGGGACATTATTTAGATCATGAGACGCTTTTTTTTTTAAAGATATTTTTATGGGCATTTTTTGCCTTTAATTGATAGGATAGTGAAGTGTGAAAGGGAGAGAGAGAGGGAGAGACATGCAGCAAAGGGCCACAGGCTGGAGTCGAACCCGGTCCGCTGTGGCAACAGCCTTGTACATGGGGCGCCTGCTCTACCACTAAGCCACCAACGCCCCGATCATGAGACACTTAACCTCTCTCGCCAACTACATTGGGAATTTAGTTACATGTCATTTAATAATTATGTTTATACACTTTGAATACGCTCTTTTACAGATTTAATCACTCAGAAACACTGACTAAAGAGCTCGTTTCCTTTTGTGTACGGTGACATTCAACATATTTTAAAGCTAATACTGCATACTCACTTCTTCCCACATAGATGGGACTGTTTCTGAGGATCAGGGAGATGGATAAACTCATGATAATGAAGTTTAAATACTGTTTAAGTTCATCAGATATTACGCAACAAGTTGCTCAGCTACACACATCTACTGACTAAACATGACAGTGATTCAAATTGCAGAGTTTATAATATACCAATGATGCCAAATTTCCTGAGGGGATCATAAACTTTCTTTATTTTAATTGAATCTGCTCAGCTTATCTCATCTTTGAAGCTCACAAAGCAATCACAGGTGAGAACAGATAGATATACTGTTTTGATACTGAAACAGTTTCTGTTTATCATCTTAAATGTAGTTTTCTTAATTAGTATCAGTCCTCCACTATATATTTGGTAGTATTCATTCATTCCAGCTTTTATCTTTCTATGACCACTGTAAACGAAGTAGCCACCTGACTTTCAGCTGCATTTTTTACCCCAATTTATTCTTGCTGTGCTTATAGACGAAGTGTTTTATATTGTAAGGTTTTATTGAAAATGCATGTGTTTGCAAAGTACTGAGCATCTGACTGGATAAATGAGACTTGGATTTTACAGCATGAGTTGTGTGAGTTTGTAATTGGATGTTTTGATATAGTTTTGCTGTTATTAAACATGGTCTCCAATGATTTCAATCAGTGAAGAATATTTGCCTTTTTTGCATTCTCCGTTCACTGCGGGGGCATGAAAGAAAAACAAAGTTTTCTTAATGAATTTAGTGCAACATGGTGTGATTGATTGATATACAGATGATCATTTTGTGGGTGAAGTATTCTTTTAATTCTCACGCTTGTGTTCCCTTTCTTCTGCAGAACTCACGTTACCAGACCTACCAGAGGATGTGGAACTACATGAACTCCAAGCAGCCCAGTGTATTTGTAAAAAGCACAGAGGAGGGCATCGCCCGCGTGGTCAACTCTAAGTATGCCTTCCTGATGGAGAGCACCATGAACGAGTACCACCGTGGCCTCAACTGTAATCTCACACAGATAGGAGGCCTGCTGGACACCAAGGGCTACGGCATCGGCATGCCATTGGGTAATAATACTGATTCGTTCATAATTTTTCAGACGAACTTACGTTACAATGTGCTTGTTGCAACTGATGATGTAATAACTATCATAACATTTTAATGCCTTAATTCTTTGTGGCATAGATTCAACAAGGTGCTGGAAACATTCCTCAGAGA